GGCAACGCACTCCCACTATTCAGCCTCAGGTTTGGGGCTGCCTTAATATTTAGTTAGAATAAACATCTTTTTTTGTCCCAACATCATGTTTCCACCCTATACTCTCCCTTCCTGTGATGAAATCAATGCTCTGAATTTAGTCTTTTATGTTCTCCTATACACATTTATTTTATAAGCATATGTCCATAAACAGAATGATGTTTTGTACATTTCATTATATTATTACTATTATTGCATATGAGAAAGTTTTTTTTATAATTTTTATTCTTTTTCCTGTGTGCATAAAATTATCACTTTTTACTTATTTTCTCAAGGAAATTACCTGGGCATTTTTGTCATTTAGCACAAGAAAGAATTATTTACTTTCATCTGTAATTACTTTTTTGAACTCCACTTTAAAAAGAAAGCATTTCTAAGAAGATGCATTACAAAGACCCAGTTATTTAATTTCATCTTAGTGAGAAATGTAGGGATAAGATCTTCTGCTTGGATTCAGATTTGAAGAGTGATTTTTGGCCAAAATCATCTGCTCTGTGTGTATGGCATGATTTTCAGTGGATACGTAAGGTTGTGTAATTACATCTTGGACTTCTATTTACAGGGTAGTCATTAATAATGATACTCCTCCTCAGCCCAGAACCAATGTCTGTGGCTTGCAAGATTTTTATTAGGTTGAAATACACTGGCAACAACTGCACTGTAAGGGTTTATGGAGATGCACTCTGAATAAAGCAAATTTTATCATCATGGAAGTAGAAATGTTAGATTGATAGTTTCAAAAACATCAAAATAACTTCTTTCTAAAATTCAGGCCATAGAGAGAGGGCATAAAATTTCCATGAAACATCCATTGTGTTTGCTTCTTTTCAAGCACTGTATTATGGGATGGTAGATGGCTGTTTCACAAATAAACATATAGAAATTCATATTCTGATTTCAGTGGATTATTTCTAAAAATTACCATATGGAGAGTAACACTCAGTTATTTCAACAAATTATATACTTTATGTCGAGTCCAAGAATTCCCAAGAAGTGGGCCTTTTGTGTTTACAACATGTTGTTTTCTGGTTGTAAATTTATTCTGAGGACATCAGCTTATACTTGTGAGAAAGTATGGATTTGGAAGCTGGGAGGGAATTTTGTAGCTTGATTCTCCCTCCAAATATGAACCTGGTGATAAGAATCATTTAAGCATCCTGGAAACAGGGTCACCCCATGTTAGTACGTAGCAAATGTTTGCTATGGGTTAATCAATCAGTTTGATGGTTTCAGACTGGCATTTTAAACACTCACACGAAATCAAGTAAAAACATTTTAGGTCATTATAATTACATGTAATTTTTGTTATAGAGCATGTGTATATGTGTCTATATAACTGCTACCAATTTCCTTTTTTAAATTGAGGTATATTTGGTGATAAAAATACGTAGTTATGCTGTACAGCTGAATGATTTTAATATACAGATACTCCATTAAATAATTAACCATGCCTTCATCATCTGTGATAATTAGCACTTGCATGTGAAAGAGTGTATGTGTGTGCACACCTGTGATCCTTGACAATTTCTAGAATACACCGAAGCCTTTAGTCCAAGTCACAGTGCTGTGCGGTAAGTGCTGCCCTTAGGAAGAAGGTCAGCGTCCCCGGCCTTGTAAGACGGACCCGTCATGAATCCTGCCTCCAGGGCCGTCAGCACACCCCTGTCTCCACAGTAGCACATTATGTCTCTATGCATCACTTGTATTTTTCACTCTATCTCAGACACTCTCAGCATTCACAAAACATTATCTTTGCTGGACCCTTTTCCTTACCTAACTTTTCTTACAGATTTTCCCACCCCTCCTTTTTGCCCTGACAATTATTCACCGGGTTATTCATAGCACTGTATAAACTCTCTTGCATTTAATAATGGGTTAATACAAATATCCTCACCTTAAAAAACTAGAGATTTTAAAAGAAGGCTTGCATATTGTAAGAATTCAGTTTATTTTCCCATAAATATACTGTGTTCACAATTGCTTTTTTTGGTGATTACTATTTAAAAGCAATGCCTCTGTGTTTTAAATGGTATGTAAAGGACATTATTTTTTTTCTAAAACATACAACCTAAAATGACAGCTGTTAATATTTACGTTGATATCTCACCATATATATACACACATATATATATACACATACATACATTTATGAAGTTAAATCTATCTATCTATAGAAATGTCTATCTGTAAATAGATAAATACACAGGTAACATAGACATTCATACAACATAGAAAATGTTGCACAAATAAATTAGTAAGCTTGACCAGTGTTCACTTTTCAGTGATTTCAAGGGTACATTATATATTGGTCATGCACCTGTACATAATTCTGATTAATGAATTACCCCCAATCCATTTTATCACCATTTATCAACATCAAAAGCAATAATGGTAGTTCTCACTTCTTTTTCTCAGATGTTATGAGCATAAATTATTCTCACTTTTTTGATTAACAGAGTCCTTATGGTTTTATTTATTTTTAAAGTTTTTTCGGAACCCGACGCAATAGCTTGGTGGTTAAATTCCTCACCTTGCATGCGCTGGGATCCCATATGGGCACTGGTTCTAATCCCAGTAGCCCTGCTTCCCATCCAGCTCCCTGCTTTTAGTCTGGGAAAGGAGTTGAGGACTGCCCACAGCCTTAGGACCTTGCACCCGCATGGGAGACCTGGAAGAATTCCTGGCTCCTAGCTTTGGATTGGCTCAGCTCCGGCTGTTGGGGCTGCTTGGGGAGTAAACCGTCAGATGGAAGATCTTCCTCTCTCTCCTCTTCTCTGTATATCTGCCTTTCCAATACAAATAAATAAATCTTTTTAAAGGAAAGTTTTTCAGGGCATTCCCACATTCAGCTTCCTTCCCTTGATCTTATGCTGTGTCCATTAAAATTTCTGTGTTTCAGAATGTCTTTTACTTAACGGGATAACATTTTTAGTGAACACATGTTTTTTATCTTATGAGAATATTCTCTAATTACATAGTACATACTTTAGTTTGTCAGCTTTCCTCCTTTAAGACTAATACCTTGGAATTATGCATACATTCAGTGTGGATATTTCAAATCTCACCTTGCTAACCCAAGGTCCGTATCTAAACTCTACCTGACCTTTATGCTGTGGCCATGAACTCAAATGAGAAGATGACTGATTTTGAGCCCATTGCCTCTTCACCAAATGCCCCCCTCATTGGTAGTTGGAGATAACTTTTATAGCTCATAAGGCTACTTCCTGTATTCTTTTAATGCTAGAGGAAAATAAAAAAAACTAGTACTTAGATTATTTTGCTCAAATTAAACATCAGGTTCAGATTTGAAAATTACTATTTAAGGCAATTTGGGTTTGTTTTTGTGATCAAAGTCAATAATATAAAGATGTTTCATCAAGTGTGTGAAAAATGAAAATACAGGTTTCTTAGGTACAATTTTTGAAATCCTAGTACAATTTAATCACCAGAATAATTTTCAGAAACTTTTTGTAGACTTGTTCCAAGAACATTTTAAAGTACACTCGTGTGGTTTCTAGTTCTTAGCTATGTTCTCTGTTTCTAACATCAGTGAGGACTCTGGAATTCATCATTTCTAACCTTTAGCATTTAGTAGTAGAGTTTATTTTCATACCATGCATATCAATTCATCCACTCACTTATAAAAAAATTATTGGTTTTATTTGCATAATAATCACTATATCAGTTTTCTTCAAATTTCATGTTAATATGATATCAATACAAAGAGAACAGATTCAGTGTAGTTCATAGCTACAATTCAAAAAATGGTATAACAGGACTTTGTCCTTCTGCCCCTCCCTCCTTGTCACTCTCTTTCCTTCCTTTTTGCCCTCCCCTCCCCTTTGCTGCTTCTTTTCCCATCCTCTACACTTGTCCTCTCCTCTCTCCTCACACTTCCCTTCTTTCCTTCTTTTCTTTTAGTTTTTGCAATAGTATTTTAAATTTAGTTTTTAGCCAAAGGCTTAATGTTCCACTAAATCTGAAAAAAAAAAGTTCTACAAGTAAAAATTAAGACTGTGTAGTTCAGTGGGGATATGGGACATAGTTATAAGCAATAATAAAAGGAAAATAATGCCTATTTTATAAGTTTCCATTACTGTATTATAACCTTAAATTCGGCATCTCCAATTCTGAGAGGTATTTGTGCAATTTTACTCTATGTTTAATACACCTTGTTAAATGTAGGCACTTATTACCTATGACATGCCTAGTGTCCTTTTCTGGTCTCTGCCCAAACAATCTGTCATTAACCATGGCCAGCTATTGTTCCTCTTTCCATGTTGCACCTGTCCTGGTTTATAACAGTGGTTCTCAATCAGGATAGATTTTTCTATCTGGGAATATTTGGCAATAACTGTAGACCTTTTTATTGTTGTACTGGGAAGTGTGCTTCTGACATGTGAATGATAGAGTTCAAGGAAACTGCTGACACCTTGTAATATACAGTTAACAGCACCTCCTTACAAGAGCACAATGCTATCTGATGCACAATGTCAGTTGTACTGACACTGTGGAGCTTTGCTGTATAGAAACTGACTTCATGTTTTAAAATTGAACTTTCAGATTTATTTTACCCCTGAGATACTCAGTTCCAAGAAGCCTTTAGATTTAGACTAGTCAGCTACTCAGTAGCAAAAAAAAAAAAAAAAGATTTATTTCATAGTATCATAGCATCATCCATGGCTTGTGTTTTGATTAAAGTAATACACTAATCATCATCTTCATGAAAAGCAATTTTCTTCTGATTAAAATAGTATCAGATGACTATTTGCCACACAGATTAGAGAATGGGTCAAACTGACCATATTTCCAAGTAATAAATATAACCCAAGGAATTAAACACTGCGACAGTGTTCCAAATGACATTTGTTATTTTGAAAATTACATTTGCAAAATGAAAAATTCATGTACAACTTAGTGCTAAAGTATTTTTCATTTTTCCTTCCTTTACGTTCTCCTAGACATTTCACATTTTCAAGAACAGCATGATGTAAAAGGATTACTAGAAAATCTTCATCAAAATATCCAAGCCAAAAAAAGAAAAAATGTGGAAATCATGTGGCTGGCTGCAACGGTAAGCACTTCCATCTCAAATCCTGTTCCTCGTCACATTAAGAGTGGTGTTATCGGTTATGTGCTATGCGAGAGAGAGCTACTACAATTTCAGTTAGCAGATGTCCTCTGTTATCAAGATAATTGCATATTTCAATCTTGTTGATAGTTGCGCTGACAGATAAGAACATAACTTGAAGGAAGATATACCAAACAAGAAATGTACTTAGTAACTGTTCTTTCAGCCCAGGGTATATTTGTCACTCTGAGTTGAAGTGAGTGCTCTGCATTTCCCTAGGGTTTTAGGTTGTAATGCTAGTTGACCCTGTGAACTAGAATTTTGAACTGCTGATCTGCAGCCACGTAGTTTCGTTGAATATAGTTACCACAGCTCTGACTTAGAGCTTCAGTAATGCTCCTGGACATATGGTTCAGTTAATGAGCTTATAAATGTGTCAGTTAACGTAGAAGTTGGCAAGGGATTTATTACTGACTGTTCTTAGAAGGGAATGGGTGTACTTTGTATGATTCTTTCTTCCTTATTGGTACCCTTAGTTGAAAGATCTGCCTGCATTTCCACAGAGGCTTCTACAAAAGTTACTGAGAGAATCAAGCCTGTGCTTTTTGAGTCCTGACATGGCAACCATTGGACCTTTGCTCATATGAAATAGATGATTTTTGTAGAATATCTATATCCTAAATCCTTTTATAAGGAACATGTCTTTTCATCAGAAAGGCATAAAATGGACATCTTTGTGAAGAATGTCGTGTTCGTAGTTTCCACAATGTTAAGTCTTATGAGTTGGAACTCAGTCTATTCATTTTTGGGCAACAGTATTTGAAACAGCTTTTTCCCTACCATCAGCCACTCTTAATAATAAAATATTATTTACTGCCTTCTGCAAAAGAAGAATGAAAAAGTTGCCATAAGGTATAGTAAAAACTAATTTAACAAGACCAATGAAGAGGAAAGATGCTTGAGTTACTCTACATGCAGTTCTGGAATCCTAGGGAAGAACATCAAAAGGAAAATTATGAAACACTTCTTTTTTTTTTTAAAGATTTATTTTTATAATTTTTTTTTATTGGAAAGGTGGATATACAGAGAGGAGAGACAGAGAGGAAGATCTTCTGTCCAATGATTCACTCCCCAAGTGAGCGCAACGGCTGATACTATGCCGATCCCAAGCCAGGAGCCTCTTCCGGGTCTCCCACGCGGATGCAGGTTCCCAAGGCTTTGGGCCGTCCTTGACTGCTTTCCCAGGCCACAAGCAGGGAGCTGGAAGGGAAGCGGGGCTGCTGGGATTAGAACCGGCGCCCATATGGGATCCCGGGCGTGCAATGCGAGGACTTAACCACTGCGCCACCGCGCCGGGCCCATGAAACACTTCTTTAAGGCTTTTTGCTTCACTGTTCAAATTTAGGACTATTCTGCATTAGTGTTCACTTAATAGTTCTTTCCTTCATTATGACTCCTCTTTGTATCGCTATAGACTAATATGGTGGTTAATTTTTTTTCTAATTTCATTTTATGACACAGTTTCATAGGCTCTGGGATTCCCCCAACTCCTCCCCAAACCCTCCCCCCATGGTGGATTCCTCCACATTGTTGCAGTAGTACAGTTCAAATCCAGTCATGATTCCTTCATTGCAAGCATGTACCATGCATAGAGTCCAACATCTTATTGTCCAGATAAATTCAACAGTTTTTCGGGAAGACCATCCCTGATCTGAAAGTAGAGCTGGCAGAAGAGGATGAAAAGCCCATCCAAGGAAAACCCACAGCGTAACATCAACAGCAATTTACAACATTATGGTGTTAAATGACATGGTATTGAGTGACCAGTGTGATAGAAAATGCAAGTTCTTACCCACCTCCTGTGACTGCTTCATTGACTTTTCTTTCTTTTTTTTAATTAATTTTATTGCATTATGTGACACAATGTTAAAGGCACTGGGATTCCCCCCACCCCTCCCCGAACCCTCTCCCCATGGTGGATTTCTCCACCTTGCTGCATTACCACAGTTCAAATTCAGTTGAGGTTCTTTCATTGGAAGTATTTACCAAGCATAAAGTCCAGCGTCTTATTATCCTAGTGGGTTCAACGATTTCTTGGTGAGACCATCTCTGGTCTGAAGGTAAAGCTGGCAAAGTATCATCCCAATCAATTAGAAGCTCCGACATAACATCAACAACCATTTACAACCTTATGGCATTAATTGACATGGTATTGATTAACAATATGTTAATAAGAAAATGCGGGTTCTTAACTACATCCTGTGACTTCTTCATAGACATTTCAATTTTTAGTTTGTATTCAACCGGATTCCATACACCTCAAAATGGCTATAGATTACTATTCAGCTGTCTCGTCTATTTTTATTTTAGTATTTAGCTGTTTATCATCAGTTTAGGTACAGAACATTTTTTAGGATGGGTGTGCAGAGAAATCCCCAATACCCCAGTGAGGCGTAACTAATCTTTGTGTCCCACCTAGTGAGGTATGATTGAGTCCACGCTGGCCATTTCCTGTCTGATTCCAAGCTTTCCTTGTTGTTGTCTGTCCATTCTAGGTTTTTTGTTGGTTTGTATGTTTGTTCATTTGTTTCGAGGGGTTTCTGGAGCGATCCTAATGGTCACCGCAAGGGAGGGTGGGGACCCAGAGCCGGAGCTAGGCAAGGACCAGAGAGAGCTTGCCTCCCTAGTCCCAAAGGAAGTTTATTATTCTTCTGTTTCTGCAGACCGCTCAGGGCTCCTGGTTGTCGTTCCGATGACGCTGGTTTCTGCACGGCAGAGTTTGGACTTCTTCCATCCCCTGTGGAGGCTCCAGATGGGGGTGGGTGACCTCAGAGTTCTCGGCCTCTGAAGGCACTCCTATTCCCCGTGGTCTCCTTGGCAGTTGGGATGTAGTCCTTGGTGTCCGTACTGATAGTCCTGTAATCTATAAAACAACAATTAATGTGAGTCAGAAAACTTATGATCTAAATCAAAGAACTGTAAAACCTAAAACACTCTTAATACCCTATGTTACTCCGTAATGGGGAGGGAATGCAGAGAAATCTTCCATCTCCCTAAAAAGTGAGAGGAAGACATGAAATATAGCCTATCAGGATCAAACCTGATAACCCATAGACAACAGACTCGAGTTGGCACTAGACAATATAGTAAAGCTACACAGGCAGAAGTGGGGAATCGGGAGCGAACTTGAAAGCCTCTTAACAGGAAGTCATGCGTATGGAACTTGGGGGGCGGGGGGATCCCAGAGTGGAGCGGGTGGACAGGAGGAGGCTCGTATCCCAACCCTGAAGACTCCCAGATCCACACCAAGCTTCATTGACTTTTTAATTTTAGTTTATATACAACTGGCTGCTATACACCTTAAAATGGGTATAGGGTACTATTCAGCTGTCTTGTGTCTATTTTCATTTTTATATTTATCAATTTATAGTATTCAAGCCTAATTTTTACTGAACTTGGCGAATTTTAGAATAGTCCAAACTGGCTTATAACTCTAACAAGCCATATGTTAACAATTGAGGCGCAGAACAGTTTTAGGATGGGTGTGCAGAGAAATATTCAATGCCTTATTGAGGAGTAACTAATCTTTGTGTCCTACCTAGTATTGTATATGTGAGTACAAACTTCCTTCAGGACTTGGGAGGGGAGCTTTCTCTGGTCCTTACTTAGTTCCAACTTTGCTTTCCCACACTCTTGCAATGACCATCAGGGTTGTGGCAGAGGCTCCGTCCCCCCACCACCAAAAAAATTAAATCAGATAGACAGAGACCATTAGGGAAAGCTTAGAACCAGACAGGAAAAGCTTAGAACCAGACAGAAAGTGGTCAGCTGTGGAGGCTAATTCTTACCAAGTTTTTGAAACAAGTTGTTAGTTTTTTTCCCCCATTTAATTAATAGCATGAAAGTAGCTTGGTTGTTTACCAAGGCCATCTGACAATTTAGGACCAAAGAAACATCTTCATACATGCATATGTCTTAATATATGTAAATAGAGAAATTAAGGGCATACACATACAATCACAAAGCATATATTCTTTTGCAGTTTACTGTTTTCCCATCTATATATTAAATAATTTCTCAAAATCCCATGCTTTTCTAACATACTTTTTCAATATATGCTCTTATTAAATATGGTTTATGGTATACCATTAGACTGGATGAATAAGTTGGTTTTAAATCTTACATTACATAAAAGAACTTAAGGTGAAGAAGTATAGAATTTTATGTGTTCCAGGAAGTCTTAATCTCTGTTTCTATTTAGTTTAGTGTGTGTCTAATAGGGATGATATGTTGATATATTCATTGTTGTTTTTTAAATAATATAAATAGTCCTGTGAAAATTCATACCAAAATAGAGGATTCCCAGAGTAGCTAAAACAATCTTAAACAACAAAAGTAAAGGTAGAAAATACACAATATCAGACATCAAGATATACTATAGGGAATTTGTGATCAAAATATCCTAGCATTGGCACAAAAATAGATATCCTTATCAATGGAACAGAATAGAAATGGGTAGCAAAAAGAAATGTAGAAACAATCTATGGAAAGCTAAAATGAATTGGACCTTAGGTTTACGTGGAATTGCATTTGCATCTTAGTTCTGCGTAGTTGTGTGAAATGTGCTTGACCTAACTAAATCTACATTTCCTCACCCATCATGATAACAAGTTTGGATATTTTGTGTGATATTGAAAAGTGGTTCACTTATCTTATGAGGATTTATGTGGATGTTTAAAATCTCATCACTTTAGGGCAGTAGTTTGGCCTGGTGAATGAGCAACCAGTAAGGATGATCATAACCTCTAGAAGAATGCTATAAAAAACTATGTTGAAACTGAGTAGGACTGGCTCATGGAACCCCTGGTATGTCCAAAATCTGGCACTGGGAGGGGTTCTGATGGAGGAGCCTGGGCAACTCCTCTGGCAGGACACAGTCCCTGCAGGTAAGCGCAAGAAGCATGATAGGAAACAGCCCAGAATAGGCCATGGAAAGTTTCCCACTGGCATACATTTGGCATGGGTCAGGGGCAGACCAGGCTGAATCAGTTCACGTCATCCACTGGCAAATCCAAGCACCAGAACAGAGTGTGGGTCGAGCCAGGTTCAGTCACGACAAAAACCAGTGCACAATACGGAATGCCAAGGTGAGGTTGCCTGTACCAGATGTGACTGCAGCACCCAACCAGCATGCCTGAGAACCAGGAAGGGAGGGGGCAGAGCCGGCAGGGGGAATAAGGGAGGGTCCCTTTGCTGGACAGCTACTCCCACTGGAGAGCATGAGCTGGGATGGGGGCAGACCAGACTAAGCAGGGCTACAACACTTGTGCGCCTCATGTGGACTAGATCAGCGAAAAGCCAGGCTAAGCTGATTATTTTTACTGGTGCAAGCATAAATTAGAGTGGGTGAGAGTTGTTTGGGCTTAGCCACAGCATCAGCTGGCAGAAGCTGGCACTGGGGGCTAATTCTGTCAAGTCAAATGCCAGAACCACCTGAAGAGTGCATAATCCAGGAGTGAGAGACCTGGGAGGGAAATAGTGGGCTCCTCCCTCTTGGGTTACCACTCCCACGGGAGGGCACGAAAACTAGGACAGGGGCTGGGGTGGCTAGACAGAGAGGCACTCAACAATATCCGTGAGGGCTGGATAGTTGAGCCTGGTTGGATGGAACTAAGCTTCAATACCCATTGACATGTACGAGAGCCAAGGGGGATGTGGGACAGACTGGACTAATCTGCTATGCAGACTGGCAAACCAGGGTAGGGAGCAGGCCTGGTGGGGTTTATTGCGGGTTGCTCCAACTAGGCTGCAGTTCCCACTGGTTTATGTGAGGGCTGAGTGTATGCTGGGCAGAACCAGGCTGCACTGCAACACCCATTGGTTCCAGTGGAAGTCAGGGCTGAAAGCAGAACCAACCCAGCAATTACAACCACCAGCTGATCGGGGCAATGGACTGTGCCGGGCCCTGTGCTTGCTAGAACACACAAGAATCTGGTCTGGGAATAACCTCAGAGTTTCTTTGGGGATCTCCCCAATCGAAATGCTGGACTCAGAACCCTAACCAAGAAAAGATAGAAGATAGAACAAGTCAATCAACCACCTCAGCTATATGTTGGCAGTGAAATACTGGGCAAATGAAGACTCTATGAGGGACTGTGTGTGTCATTCAGGGGATTCTTCAGCGACCTCATCTGGCTTGGAGTGGCGAGATTGGTAGCGATTCATAACTGTTGAACTATCAAAATCACATGAGCAAGTATCTCAGAGCATGCCCCACATCCAGGACTTGGGGTGGGTGGGAAACTGGGTGGGGCTTCTCCCTCAATATAGCCCTTTACCTCAGATGCATGAAGGAAACAATATGGAAATAATAGTCTTACCCACTTCCCTATAGCCCTTGAGCCTTTTTCCCCTAATTAACTATGTAAAAATTGTCAAAAATATAATTAACAGGGATGGGAATGTGTGCTTGCTCGCTCTCTCTCTCTGTTGCTCGCTCACTCTCACTTTCAAATAAGTTTGTTAATCTCATAATGTAAAAAGCAAAATGAAAAACTGAATTAGATATGTAAAATAAGAGGATAAAACTAGTTAGAATTCAAATCATGTGTCCACCTCTGGGTACGTGAAGTTGTTGCTCCTGAGCTATTTACCTATAAGCATGCACTGCAGCTCCAGTAGTTTCTCAGTGGCAATTTGTCTTCTGCTGGGTCTTCCACAACTCATATGGCTTCACCACTCCCACACCCTATATATACATACAAGCATGCACACATACATATATGTGTATGTATATACATATAAATTGATTTTTAGCATTTAAAAATTTATTTTATCTTATGATTCAGCTGCATAGGTTCTGGGATCTTCCATCTCCCTTTCCATGTACCCTCTCCCCTACTGACTTCTGTCCTGGTATTGCAATGGGTAGTCAGGTTATATTCAACAGTTTCACTGGGATTCCATCTTTGGTCTGGATACAGAGAGTCATACTGATGTATGTCTCCACATCTGGGTACATCAGTCTCTGCTACATTTCTATTATACAAACCCTTAAATACAGGGCAAAAAAAAAACGCAATCTGCAACAGGGAGAAAAAAGGAACATTTGCATCAACATAAAGCTAAATTACAGAATGACCAATGTGTCACAAAAGTAATGAAAAAGAAAACAAAAAAGCTTCTTATAGAAAGTAATAGCACTGCATGAGCTATGTGTCACTGAAAAAATAACAAAACAAGAATGACAATAAAAACAAGAATATGAATATCCATGAGATGTAGCAAAAACAGTGTTGAAAGGGACATTTACAACATCAGGTGCTTACAAACAATCAAAATATGAATTATCTATTAAGGAGTAACAAGGACTTATTGAAATAGACACTAATGAATAGGTAAAATTCACAGCAAAAATAATTGGATTTAAAACCAAAAAACTACAAATTGAAATAAATTGAAACAGTTGACTTCCTGCAATTACCACAAATTCATGCAAACATTTAATGTTTAGGATTGTTTAGGTCACCGTTTGACAATAACCTATAAATGAATAATCAACTGTGTATGTGTGTGTGTTACAGATTTGTCGCAAACTAAATGGCATCCGTTTCACTTGCTGTAAAAGTGCCAAAGACAGGACTTCAATGTCAGTTACGCTGGAACAGTGCTCCATTCTGAGGGACGAACACCAGTTGCACAAGGACTACTTCATCCGGGCGCTGGACTGTATGAGAAGGTATCCATCTGTCTTAAATCTTGTGTTTCATTTAAGATCATTTTGAGTTTTTTTTTTTTCCCAAGCTACATATTTATTACAGGAATAAATAATTAGTAAGTTGATTATATTTCTGTAGCTTATAACTGATGGCATAAGAGATACAATTGTTTCCATATCCTCCCCTTCTCTTTTAGGACGTAAAAGAAAATGTACCCATGAACACATTTGATGATATAAATGGACAGTATTTTTCATTCGCTCCAGTTCATAAGCTCTGAATCCTTAGATGCAACACTCAAAGAGTACAGTCACTCAACAACTAAGTAGACATAAGTATGCGCGATGTACAACTAAGCCATTACCAAGACAAAGCCTTTGCAGTCATGACTGACAGATGGGCTTCCCACCGCTTATAGGGTGTTTGGGTCAGAAACCAGAAATCTACTTCCCAAAATCGTTTTCATATCATTCATCATATAAAGGAGATAACACTGACACTTAGAGTATTCACACTGCTACTCTGATGATATTTGCAATGCTTTGCCCCAAGTCATGTTTCTTGATTCATTTCTATAGTAATTAAAATCTAAGACATAATGGGAAAGAAAATGTGCCTCATTCACAATGTCCATCAGCAAGGGCATATGTTAATTAAAAAGTTAAATGAAATTGTCTTTCCTTAAAAGATTAGTTTAGAATCACATCAAGAGATATGGAGTAGGTTCCCCATTTCCAGAAATGAATGTCTAGTAGTGAACTGGAGAGGCCTGCTGCTGACCTGGAATAACTTTTACTTTCGTTTTTTTCTTTAAATTATTGCAGTCTTTTTTCAGTGGAAATGTTGGTGCTTATCTGTGTTCATTCTCAGCTTGTATGCTTTTCCACTAGGGAGAGATTTCTGTGGTCCTCTATTTCACTGCATTTCATATCTCTTGACATTTTCATTGATGAGTGAGTTCCATCAGAATTTTTTGACAAATGTCCAAGGTTGTCTTGGACTTCTGACATGAACATCTCAGCCATGTAAAGCACATTTGGTTGGTATATTCTTTTCTCTAATATAATGTCTCAGCACTAATTGTAGAAATCTGCAATCTGAGAATTAAATCCCCCAAATATGCAGGAAAGTACTGCATACATCGCTGTGGATGGTACTCAGGTGCTTGGTGAGGGGAACAGGAGCCTCTGCTATGGAAATGCAAGGTACATTGCAGGATTCATGTGACTGAACTAGCAAATTGTCTGGAAGTTTAAATAGTCACAAGTTTACATAAGGTAAGAATAAGATATTAGCCTTAATCCTAAGATATTACCAGACAAATAATAAAGTGTGCATCTCTTTTGCAGCTATTGCACTAAACCACATACTTTGTTATTGTACACAATTGTTCAGACTCTGACTTACGTCCTCAGCCAGTTGTTCATGGCATAAAATTGTTATGGGCTGATTTTTGGGTTGTAAAGTGAAATAAGGTTTCAAAAACATTATTCAAAATTGCTGAGGTTCCTAACTTCCATGTCTCCACTTCTCTGGTAATCCTCTTCTTGAGTGTTCCACTTTGTTTTAATGTTCAAATTTTATATCTATAAAGGTATCATTTTGTATACATGCAAGGGTTACATGGCAGTGTGAGGATTTGTCTCTGTGTGTATACATTTAAAAAACAAGATATGTTCTGTTATTTAACAGTTACCCTTTCTTCCTCTCTGGGTGTTCTGTTCATGCCTCAAGATGATAAGCTAATCAACTCTCGCAGCAAAACAGTGTAGTTATCAGGTTGGATTTAGGAGCCAACTGACCTGAGTTTAAATCCAAGCCAGATGTCACTTACTAGCTATTACAAAGTTCATCTCTGTTGCTTAATGCTGTAGGTAAATTAATCAGTCTCTTGATGTGTTAGTTTTGTCATATGTAAAATAGTCATGATAGTAGTTGTCACCTCTTAGAATCATCTTGAAGATTAAGTGAAGTCATAAGTGTAAAGTGATTAGAGTTCTCTTTGGCACACAATAAATTAAGATTTGCTAAATAAAGTTAAAGTCATGATATTGCCGTTCAGCTCTCCCAGGCACAGTAAAGTCTAGCTGGTTATAATTTTCATGTCCTTATGTTTATGAACACACACAAACAGTTTAACTCCAGCAGTAAATATGCTGGTCAAGCTTAGATAAGAAATCAAATCTAATATTTTACCAATTTAACAAAATAACTTTTTTATTAAATAGTGGCACCTTATAAAC